TACTGCCTGGCCTACATGTCCGAGTGCAGCATGTGCTTTGAGCGCCTCTCTGCCACCTGCCCCCCCCCCCGGTGTCCTGCAGGGGAGCCAGGGCCTGTGGGCACCAAGGGTTCAAACCCAGGCACACGAGTGCCCCCTCCCTAGCCAGGACGGCTTGTGCCCAGAGTCAGGAGAGCTGGCCTGGGGCGAGGGAGTGGCAGGATCCTCAAGGGCACAGTGGGTGGAGAGAGACAGAGGGGAGAGCAGAGGGACCCTGGGGCAGGAGACCGTGGCCTCTGTGCCACGCTGAGGACCGGCCCGTGTGACTCTGTGGCTCAGCGCGACCTGGCCGGACAGACAGCAGGTGCCTGCAGGTGAGCCCAGCGAGGCGCTGCCAGGCCGAGCTGAGCACCAGCGTGTCCCTCGGGGGCTCCTTTCTCGGCCCAGATTCGAGAGGAAATTGACCGTTATGGGATCCGCATCTACCAGTTCCCCGAGTGCGACTCGGACGAAGACGAGGATTTCAAGCGGCAGGACCAGGCCCTGAAGGTGAGCGGGGGTCTGGCTGAGCTCTGGCCTGGGGCACGTGCTGCCAGGCACGCCTTTGCCCACGGAGAAGGGCCGCTTTGTGTCCAGCTTTGTTGGGAGGTCTCACGTGGCAGAGCGCAGGAGCCCTGGGCTGGAAGGGTTACAGGCCACGGGCAGGCAGCAGGGTGGGGGAGGCCGGCGCATGGATCAGTGGCCGCGGGAGGGGCTGCCCAGCTCTGACACCCGTGGAAATGCAGCGTGGGGGGGCAACGCGACCGGCGGCTCTGGGACTGCTCTCAGGCAGCCTGGGCACAGCCCCAGCGCCCCGGGGGAGTCAGCCAGTGCACACAGACCCCGGAGACCCAGAGCACCTCTGCTGGGCCAAGGCTAACCCTGCGGCTCTGTTCCAGGAGAGCATCCCTTTCGCTGTGATCGGCAGCAACACGGTGGTGGACGCCAAGGGAAGGCGAGTCCGGGGCTGGCTGTACCCCTGGGGGATCGTGGAAGGTATGGCGAACTCCCAACATAACCTTAGCTTTGGATAATTACAGTGTCATTTGGTTTTAAAAAAGCATAGCTGTGAATGTCTGTCATATTTAAATGAAAATGTTAACCACTGAAGTCTATATTCCTGATGAGTTGTACTTTACATTCTTGAAATAAACACATCTTATGTTGAATGTGACATGGTTCAAACTAAAATATAGGCTATTACCATTCATAAATTACATCATCTATCAAATCGGATATTTCACATATGGAGTCAGTCCCTGTACAACTGAAATAAAATTTAATATTGCAAATCACCTCTCTATCAAATAACACATCCTGTGCGAGACTGCAAATGCACTTTAATACAGTGATGTCATGTTCATCTAGTGGCTTGAAGGCCATTTGTGTATTTTGAAGCTTTAAAAAGAAGCTGTTAAGACTAGTTAAGAAATAATGTGCATGTGATTATGAATTGATTATGTGCTGTCTGAGCTGTGCCCTGCAAGTTTAGACTAAAGCGTTTGAATCAGCAACATCTCTATGGGGTGGTGGTAGGAGATGCTCTCTCTTCCCAAGGTTTCTCTTCCTACCATTTCTTCCACAGCCCATGTATGAAGCCAAGCCAAGCGGAGCGCTTAATTCGAACTAGGCAAACCTCATTCTAGAAGAACTAATGCCTTCCAGGCTAATAGCACTCCATGGACCCAAACTCAATGACTTTATCTAACTTCTCTTTAAACTCTGTTATAGTTCTAGCCTTCACAGCCTCCTGTGGCAAGGAGTTCCACAGGTTGACTATTTCCTTTGTGAAGAAGAACTTTCTGTTATTAGTTTGAAGCCTGTTACCCATTCATTTCATTTGATGTCCTCTAGTCCTTCTATTATGGGAACTAATGAAGAACTTTTCTTTATGCACCCTCTCCACACCACTCATGATTTTATATACCTCTATCATATCCCCCCTCCATCTCCTCCTTTCTAAGCTGAAAAGTTCCAGTCTCTTTAGCCTCTCTTCATATGGGACCTGTTCCAAACCCCTTTCCTTTCTGAACCCATTCCAAGGCCAAAACATCTCTTTTAAGGGAGGAGACCATCGGTGGCCGCGGGAGGGGCTGCTCAGCTCTGACACCCGTGGAAATGCAGCGTGGGGGGGCAACGCGACCGGCGGCTCTGGGACTGCTCTCAGGCAGCCTGGGCACAGCCCCAGCGCCCCGGGGGAGTCAGCCAGTGCACACAGACCCCGGAGACCCAGAGCACCTCTGCTGGGCCAAGGCTAACCCTGCGGCTCTGTTCCAGGAGAGCATCCCTTTCGCTGTGATCGGCAGCAACACGGTGGTGGACGCCAAGGGAAGGCGAGTCCGGGGCTGGCTGTACCCCTGGGGGATCGTGCCGAGTGTAGGCACTCAGGACACTCCAAGACAGGACTGCTTTGCTGCCCCTCATCGAGGTAGACAAGCAAGCGGGGAACCCTGAGTACTGTCTGTCCGGGGTGGGGGTCGGGTCCCTTTAAGCACAGCCCTCGGCTAGCCTGAGGCAGCAGCTCCACGCTCTATGTCCTAACCTGATCCCCTGCTAGCACTGCTTCTGGCCAGCCTTAACTTCGGTTCAGGGTCCACTCAATGTGGACATGCTATTTCGAATTAGCAAAACGCTAATTCGAATTAGTTTTAGTTCTAGATGCACTCATTCGAATTAGCGTAGTTCGAAGTAACTAATTTGAACTAAGTTAGTTCGAGCTAGCGCTGTAGTGTAGACGTACCCTGAGTGTGCCTGGTGTGGGCTCCATGGCTGTCTCTAGCCGGTCTCCTCTCTTCCCAGCTGGAAGCCCGTGGCCGATTACATCGATCAGCAATTTGAGCAATATTTCCGGGATGAGAGCGGCCTGAATCGGAAGAACATCCAGGACAACCGTGTG